ATGTGTTTTCCTGAGTCACTCACACTCGCATGAACACACTCATATGCGTGTAACGAAACTATGTCAAAAGGGTGGGTAGGTAGGCGTGAGCAAGCGGTGGAGGCTAAAGGTTCTATTCCAGGAGAAATTCTAGAGGCCTCGTAGGCCTTACGCATGATGGATTGGGCTGAGAAAATAAGACAAGAAGAGTTTAGCAAGCGCGCGTGAACCGATTTGCAATAACACAGTTGCCAAGCGAGAGGTAACTAATTGGCAGCAAATGGAAGAAATCGGGTTAGAAGTTCAGGAAGGCAACGGTTGTCTCTGAGATAATATCACCTGCGTGTTGTCAGATGTGAAGAAAGGTAGCTGGTAGTTTAGAGACCTCGACTATTGTAATGATTGTAACGATTGGAAATCTTCAACGCCTCCTTCGGTACAATTAAGATCGTTTCGGAGACGAACTGCTTCGACTCTGACCACCTGGACTAACCTGGGCTGAGAGGAAAACAACACGAAAGTATCCTATAAAATACCCCCCCCCCCCCATCCCAGAGAATCGAACTCACGTTTCCTGTGAGCAACTGCTTAGATTAGAGCCAAATAACTGCAACATTGACGCAGACACACGTCAGCGAAGAGTATTGTTTCTCTAGAGAACGGATCGCCTGACTTCTACTGGGTCGAGACATCAAAATCATAATTTCTGGACCTAAGCTGCTTTTCTTTTATCTTTTCTTCTCTTTTTTGTGTTTTTAACAGTTTCGCAGTAGTTGTAACACAAGAGAGTGACGTACAGAGAAAAAGGAGGAGAGATAAAGAATTATTTTTTTTTATAGGAAAGAAGGGGCAAACCATTCCAGAGCGTCCACCTACCACCCACTGTCTAAGCTCCACAAACACCCGCACTCTAAGTTCCAGTTACCATAGGTCAGAATTTTTTAAACCCTGAAAATATTCCAACATTTGACCACAGTGTCCTGACTTAAAAAGAGTAATATGTCCATTAAACGACATGACCTCACACAGAGAAGCTGCATAGAACTTGCTGAACTCAGCATGACAAATGACAGCTGGGGGATTATATAATAGATTATCCTTTAGATGACAGTAAGAAAAGAGAGAATGGCAATCTGATATTTAACGTGACCTTGTTCTGTGTTTCTGTTTCTCTCTCTCTCTCTCTCTCTCTCTCTCTCTCTCTCTCTCTCTCTCTCTCTCACTCTCTCTCTCTCTCTCTTCCTTATTTCTTACGTCTTTACCTCATCGCCGCACTATATAACTCTATCTCTCTTCCTGGCTTCCACTCCTCGTTTTCGCTATCAGTCTCAACATCTCCCAGAAGAGTTTTGCTTCTTTATTTTAAAAAATTGAACTACATTATGTACACTGGCATACAACACGAGTTCATTTCACGCTCAGCATCAAACGCTAAAGTGGACTCTCCGTTCTCCAGTAAAGATGACCATCATTCTACTTGTTGCTACTAGTTTTATTTCACAGTCCATCCTTCCGTGTGTTGTGGACATGATTTATGTGCGCGTGTGGACAGAGCGAATCAAAGACAGGACCGACAACTAACGAGACGGGCACGACGAACCGCCCACACACTGGCTCAGCAGTCTCTTTAATTAATGCTGGTTCGGACGTTTCTTTTTACCTGAATAAGCAAAACAGCAGGTCGGGTCTCCTTCATACAGTATTTGTTGTTTTATTTAGTCCACTGAACACATGCTTCCCCTTCATGAACCACGTTTTGTTGTCGTTGGCAGACAAAATTGAGGTCGTGGAATAGAGGAATGCATTTTAAATTCACAAATTAGCACCCATCGTTAGAAATAGTCACGACTCTCTTTCATGTAAGTTAACAACATACAGGAATTTGAACTCTGCATTAATGAAACTAATATTTCTTAGTTTACAAATGTCTTGAGGGAAACAGGGATAATAAGTCATTTTCTGAAAGTCTTAATATTATTATTTTTAAATCGCAAACAGTACGATTAGGACCTATGTCGGAGTGCAGAGAGTCCACTAATTTGTAAACCCTATAACCCTTTAGGGTCCTACAAGTATTGGGAACGAAGTGCACGTTTATATAAGAGATTTGCGTTTGTCACAAAAATGTTTCAAACAACAGTCTCTCAAACACTTCCTAATAACTATGCCTCACTTGACCATAGTGTCAGAATCAGTAGAACTACACACTCTCAAACACTTGTAAAGAGTAAGTTAGGGAATGTTAAAGAATAAGGACACGATAAAAGAAAAGGAGCTAACCAAAAAACCCAAATTGAGTAAACACTAAACGAAGAGAAAGCTGATACTGTCCCTCAGGCATGCAATTTTGTTAACCCTATTAAACACATTCTCGAAAAAATTTTTAAAGATGAAAGAATTGAATTGACACACATTGAACTTTCCTTACAATAAGATAGTAAAACATTCATATGTCTGTGCTAAACATTGATTTTTCCCCCATAAAAATGGAAAAAGCGTTGATGAGCGACAAATATTATTTTGCAACATCTGCTTCATTTCTCACACATGAAAAATTTTGTGAGGGGAGAAAAGTGAATGTTTCACAATGTGCTGTGATCTCTCTCTCTCTCTCTCTCTCTCTCTCTCTCTCTCTCTCTCTCTCTCTCTCTCTCTCTCTCTCTCTCTCTCTCTCTCTCTCTCTCTCTCTTTCTCTCTCTCTCTCTCTCTCGCTCTGTGTGTGTGTGTGTGTGTGTGTGTGTGTGTGTGTGTGTGTGTGTGTGTGTGTGTGTGTGTGTGTGTGTGTGTGTGTGCGTGCGTGTGTGCGCGCGAGTGTGCGTATGTGTGTGTGTATGTATGTGTATGTATGTGTATGTGTGTGTACATGTGCGGGGGCGCGCAAAGGTAATTCCACATGCCCACCAGGCAATGATCGAGGAGGAAAAAAACAAAATAAGAAAAGATACCTCCCGAAGGTATAAGACGCATATATAACAAAATACGCACTGCAGCATTTAAAATGAGGCTCGAACCTAGGTTTGGCCAGCGTCCACCTTGGCCTTGTTTTCAATGAGTTTCTCCTCGGGGATGGGCTAGCTAAAACAGCGCTCGGGCCGAGAAGAGGAGCTCAAAGAAATGAAACAAATCTCGCCAGGCCGGTTTTTTGGCCCTTGACAAAAGAGCACATCTATGGACGTCCCGCAGAGGGGAGTGCGTTTACACAGAGGGTTCGGCCAATCTTTCACACTAGGTAAAAGAAGAAAGGACAAAATGGTAGTGAACTAGCGTGAATGTCCAGTTCTTGAGGTAAGGGAAAGGTGTAGAAATCATTATGTAGGTGGATCTAGAACGGTGAACTTTAAGATGGAGAGAGCAAAACAAGTTGACACTAATTCTTGATAGAAAACAACGGGATGGAGAAAGGAATACAACAGTAATCGCTGTTGCTTTTCCTGTGTTACTATTTTCTCCAAGCCAGAACGTTAACGGCTATATTTCGTGACGCACAGGCACACATGCACTCGTATCAGCAAAGTGGAAGAAACAATTATTGGGAGACAGACAGCAGTGAAAGCGATTCATAATTTTTATTTATCTCTCGAATGGACCCAGGACAGTGATAAATTCACTTCCCTTTTCTCACAATGTAAGAGTCAAGCAAAAGAAATTTTTCGCAACTTGCATCCCTTCCAAACGTAGGCTTACATCAGTTCACAATAACTCTCTTGGTCGAAAAGTTGAGTCTAATTTGCTTTCTCAGTATAAGGTCGGATGTTCAAATCAGCTGGAATGTTATTCCCTCCATGTTATGGTTCCCATTCGTCAGATTGTTATGTAGCCTTTTATGCCCTGATAAGCGGTAAAAAAAGGCCAGACCAAACACCCCCCCCCCTTTGGGGGGGGGGGGGGGGGGGTGGATACAACTAAATGTCTTTGTCTTATCTTGCAAAACCTGAGTGGAAACAGGATTGTGCGACCGATATTAATCCCAAACGGAGACTCGCGGAGTGACTGAACCTTATAATATTATTTCCGAAGCATTCTTTCCCTACAAACGACCCCGACCGTTCACCGTTCTGTCTACACCGAGGATACCGGAACTATGGTAGCCTCGGTCTACACCATATTGTCATAATATTTCACACACCTTGTGATCTGGATCCCCCGCTCCCACTCCCCACATAAGCGTCATTTATATACTGGCCCTTTATAAGTAGTAATTCGGCTGTCACGGTTCTGCAAACACCTGTGCGTTTAGCTAATGCCCTCACGTTCAACTTGCCATTACATTCATGTCGGGAATCTACTGTCGTATCTTTATTGCTCAATAAACCCAAGCCAGGTTGTTGTACTACGCCTATGGTATCAATGGTTTCAGTCATTCTTCTTCTCACAACACTCGGGGGCCCTTGTGCAGTCAACTAACCGAAACTCGTAGTCAACATTTTGATAAAAGAATCGAACTTTTCTAGTCAGGAAACATTGCAATTATATAATATCCTTTCAAGACCATATTCCTAGTTCAAGTCCATAAACTCGAAAGAGAGATTGAATAACATCTTTACACATTTAGGTCTGCTTCGAAAGAATATGAGCAAAAAGTATCTGAAGTTTCTATCATTTTAAAACCAAATAGTAAACATCGTAGCAGGAAATTGCAGAGACTTCCCTTTCAAAAGAGTAAACTACTCGAAACATGTTTTATTGTTCTGTTTTGTTTTGTGAGGGGTGTCTTTGTTGCTTATTTTTTGTTGCGTTTTTGTGGACGTAAGAGTTTCTTAACACTATCCGTACGTCTTGTCTTACTCTCGTATCCATATCTCGTGGGGAACTCTGTGCCACCACTTTTAAAGAGGAAATTTACTCGTTAATCCGTACGCTTTGCATAGGAGTCTGTCGAAATGATTTTTTTTTCGAAATACTGAAAGTTTCAAAGAGACTTCGTACTAGAAGTATCTTAAAATGTGAAGAATACAACCCCGGGTATACAAAATGACCCCAGGTCGTACGGATAGGGTTAAAAAGACATCTCGAGTACTCACCTTTGAAGCATTCCTCGCGGTACATGCACTCACAGCCGGGACCGTCGTCCCCGCTGATGCACGGGCAGTCGTTGGGGCAAGGGTTTCTTTGCTCGCACGTCTCTTGAGGATAATCCCGGGTGCCTTGACCCTCCAGCATGCGAGCTCTGTGGACGAACAGAAACATTAAAGTTAATTCCATATTATATTATATTATACATAACATGTATTCATGTAGTATGTGTATACTATTATTATCATTATTACCATTGATTTTTATTATTATT